AACTTCATCGATAAGAATGGAGACTATTTCATTTAATAAATGTTTTGTTTTGATGTATAAGTTGTTTGGGTTTTTTCATCTATTAAAAGCGACATTAATTTATTGATGACATAATAGAAGTAAATTTTAGAACAATCACATTTACAACTAGGCCTACTATCCATCTCTCTCTCCTCTTAACGATGTTTTTATTTTTTTATTTACCCTTGTTCAGGGTTACTAATGAGGGGTGTAACTGGGGACAAGTAATGAATGAATGATAGACTGGGCTCTGTGTTTATTTTAGTATTTTAAACAGCTTGTTTGCTGAATAAATAACTAGCAGCAGTGTTATGTATTTTTCCAGTCGTTATTAAATTAAATTTAGGTTTGCTGTAGTTGATAAAAGATGAGTAAAAACACTTCTGTAATGAAGTTCACATTATTTGTTACTGAATTCCTACTAGTGGCTGATTTTCCAAACATCAATTTAATATTAATTCAGAATTTTTCACAATTCCAACATCTATAGATACACATATGGTTTAAAGGTAGTTAGGTTTTGTAATTTTAATAAAGACCTTACACAGTTATTGTGAATAAATAAATTAAATGATGAGTAAAATATTAAAAACAAACATACAATATTGTTTTGTTGAACACAAAAATTAGCTTTATTGAAAATGGCATAAAATTAAAATGGTGGTGCTCTGATGAAACTAATTTTAGTTTGCAACAATTCAGTGTTGCATGTTTGTTTTTAATAGGTTTTACATTTAGTTAAAAGTAACATCCACTGTTCAGGATGTGTTGTTCCACCTAACAGTTTAACTTCACATTTACTTTGTATGTTTCCTTGGGTGGCTTCCCGTAAAGGAATAACTTGAGTTTTATCCTTCTTTACAGTGTATCATTCTCTGAAGGAATAACTTGAGTTTTTATCCTTCTTTACAGTATATCATTCTCTGAAGGAATAACTTGAGTTTTATCCTTCTTTACAGTGTATCATTCTCTGAAGGAATAACTTGAGTTTTTATCCTTCTTTACAACGTATCATTCTCTGAAGGAATAACTTGAGTTTTATCCTTCTTTACAACGTATCATTCTCTGAAGGAATAACTTTAGTTTTATCCTTCTTTACAACGTATCATTCTCTGAAGGAATAACTTGAGTTTTATCCTTCTTTACAGTGTATCATTCTGTGAAGGAATAACTTGAGTTTTTATCCTTCTTTACAGTATATCATTCTGTGAAGGAATAACTTGAGTTTTTATCCTTCTTTACAACGTATCATTCTCTGAAGGAATAACTTGAGTTTTATCCTTCTTCACAACGTATCATTCTCTGAAGGAATAACTTGAGTTTTATCCTTCTTTACAACGTATCATTCTCTGAAGGAATAACTTGAGTTTTATCCTTCTTTACAACGTATCATTCTCTGAAGGAATAACTTGAGTTTTATCCTTCTTCACAACGTATCATTCTCTGAAGGAATAACTTGAGTTTTATCCTTCTTTACAACGTTTCATTCTCTGAAGGAATAACTTGAGTTTTATCTTTCTTTGGCCAACGTTTGGCCACAGTTTGGCTCATTCATTTTATAGAAAAAATATATCTAAAAGCTCACTTGGTAACTTACATTTTAATAAGTATGGTTTTTAATTATAGATATTGTAAAAATCAGTTGTCGCTGTCTTCCAGAGACTAAATCAGTTGTCGCTGTCTTCCAGAGACTAAATCGGTTGTCGCTGTCTTCCAGAGACTAAATCGGTTGTCGCTGTCTTCCAGAGATTAAATCGGTTGTCACTGTCTTCCAGAGATTAAATCGGTATCGCTGTCTTCCAGAGACTAAATCAGTTATCGCTGTCTTCCAGAGACTAAATCAGTTATCTTTCAGAAACTAAATTTTTTTTAATATATATAAATTTGATCTTTTAATACTTTAGATGTAACTTTTTAACTATGTCAATATCCACTGGTGAAATGATGTAGTTGAAACTTTTTCTACATTTTTGAATGGAGTTGTTTAAACATTTGTTTAACAACAAGTAAAAGTTTGGAATGCTCCATTCTTTCATTGGAGGTGTGTCTTGAGCCAGACTAGTTTCAGAGAATTCCACTCCTCATCAGTGACCCTGGACACTATTACCAATGAAATAACAGACCAAACAAAGCCTTTATACTAGTGTGGTATCGAAAATCGAAATGGTGTATTTAAGTGTTTTATACTCACCATTCCAAGCTTTTACTTGTTGTTCAACAAATGTTTAAACAACTATTCAATTATGTACCAGCTGTCCAGTGTTGGCTAACAGTACCAATAATTAAATTATGGTGGATTGCTACAACTTCTTCAAATACCTATAGAATGATAGGTTTCTTTTTTGTGAGTATAAAACACTTAAATATACCAGTTCGATTTTTCTACATTTGTCATCAGAGTTTGGGATTTTTTCCATGTTTTCTGATTGAACTTGTTTAAAGCAACAACTTAAGTCCATCAGTGAGTTCATGACCTGTATGCTGGTGTGAGTGTGTATACTTGACTGGGATGTTTGTAGAATGATGTGCATCGGTGAGTTCATGACCTGTATGTGTATTTGTGTATACTTGACTGGGATGTTTGTTGAATGACATACATCAGTGAGTTCATGACCTGTACGTGTGTGTGTGTGTGCATATGTGACTGGGATGTTTGTAGAGTGATGTGCATCAGTGAGTTCACGACCTCTTTGTCAGTGTGGGTGTATACTTGACTGGGAGGTTTGTAGAGTGATGTGCATCAGTGAGTTCATGACCTGTACATGTGTGTGTGTGTGTGTGTATACTTGACTGGGATGTTTGTAGAATGATGTACATCAGTGAGTTCACGACCTGTACGTGTGTGTGTATATACTTGACTGGGATGTTTGTAGAGTGATGTGCATCAGTGAGTTCACGACCTGTACGTGTGTGTGTATATACTTGACTGGGATGTTTGTAGAATGATGTGCATCAGTGAGTTCACGACCTCTTTGTAGGTGTGGGTGTATACTTGACTGGGATTTTTTCAGTTTTTATAAGGGAAGTGTATCATAAATAAAAACCTTTAACAATATAATGTCTGTATTGTGTTGGTTTTTTGAATAAGTTACTTTTTCATTGTTATATCTAATCTTTTTTTTGCTGGTCATGTAAGTTTTCACGGTATTGGTAACTTGAATGTTCCATGTGCTTTGATATGTAATAATTATTCCAATGTTTTCATAATGTTTGAGTTACACGTATCATCTTTCTTCCTTAATAATATTTAATAGATTTAAACTTTTGACCCCTCATCTTTAATGGATTAGAGTAGCAGTTCTTAATCTGTGGTCCACGACTCTTTTCAGGTGGTAGGTGGAAAGGTTGCTTAGTTACAGGGAGGAAGAGGCACCATTTCAGAAAATGTGTGAACCACTGGTTTAGGGTGGTTTTTTTTCTCTTGTATGTATGTGTGTGCCAGAAATTGAAGTTCAATTATTCCATAATAGAATTTGATCAGATGGGTTGTAAATGTCTCTGTAATCCAACACAAAACACAGTCTAAATTAAGCATTATGAAGTTCTGAAGTGTATTCTTTTCATTTACAATCTCACTGTTGTTTAAAAGTGTTATTTCTTTCAATCGAAAGGATCATTATGGATATCCCATGGGAGGTGGATATGAGCCCCAACTGACAGGACCTGCCCTCATGCCACAATATTCAACAGAAAATACAAGTCTCACATCACCAGGTGTTAACAATGTATCAGTTTACAACACAACTAGTAGAGTAAGTATATGTTGAAGTGTGTAATACAAGTTTGAAATAACCAGGTGTTAATAACGTATCAGTTTACAACACAACTAATAGAGTAAGTATATGTTGAAGTGTGTAAGTACAAGTCTCACATCACCAGGTGTTAACAACGTATCAGTTTACAACACAACTAGTAGAGTAAGTATATGTTGAAGTATGTAAGTACAAGTCTCACATCACCAGGTGTTAACAATGTATCAGTTTACAACACAACTAGTAGAGTAAGTATATGTTGAAGTATGTAAGTACAAGTCTCACATCACCAGGTGTTAACAATGTATCAGTTTACAACACAACTAGTAGAGTAAGTATATGTTGAAGTATGTAAGTACAAGTCTCACATCATACAAGGTGTTAACAACGTATCAGTTTACAACACAACTAGTAGAGTAAGTATATGTTGAAGTGTGTAAGTACAAGTCTCACATCACACAAGGTGTTAACAACGTATCAGTTTACAACACAACTAGTAGAGTAAGTATATGTTGAAGTGTGTAATACAAGTCTCACATCACCAGGTGTTAACAACGTATCAGTTTACAACACAACTAGTAGAGTAAGTATATGTTGAAGTGTGTAATACAAGTCTCACATCACACAAGGTGTTAACAACGTATCAGTTTACAACACAACTAGTAGAGTAAGTATATGTATATGTGATATCGTGTAAGGAGTAAAGGTAATATCCAGTTGTGTGGATAGTTTGTGATATCTTGTAAGGAGTAAAGGTAATATCCAGTTGTGTGCATAGTTTGTGATATGTAAAGGTAATATCCAGTCGTGTGTATAGTTTGTGATATCGTGTAAAGGTAATATCCAGTTGTGTGAATAGTTTGTTATATCATGTAAAGAGTAAAGGTAATATCCAGTTGTGTGGATAGTTTGTTATATCATGTAAAGTTAATATCCAGTTGTGTGGATAGTTTGTTATATCGTGTAAAGGTAATATCCAGTCATGTAGATAGTTTGTGATATGATGTAAAGGTAATATCCAGTCATGTAGATAGTTTGTGATATGATGTAAAGGTAATATCCACTCGTGTGGATAGTTTGTGATATCATGTAAAGGTAATATCCACTCGTGTGGATAGTTTGTTATATCGTGTAAAGGTAATATCCAGTCATGTAGATAGTTTGTTATATCGTGTAAAGGTAATATCCAGTCATGTAGATAGTTTGTGATATCATGTAAAGGTAATATCCACTCGTGTGGATAGTTTGTGATATCATGTACAGGTAGTTTGTGCAGAATGACATTATTTATTTTTTAGAAGGTTTTGAATATAGGTTCTGATGACCCCAACCTTAACTACAACTGTAGGTGAGGAATTTTAAAAGATCTGAAAATACATTTTTTAAGAGAAAGTTCAATCTATTGTAAGCAGTACATGTGTTAAGAAAACGTTTCATATTTTCTTTTAGAACTGTTTTGTATCAAATCTATCAGATGTTCCCAGTAAATCAAGAAGTTAATACATATTTCCAAATGATTGAGGAATGTTTGGCACTGATTGTTCCTTAGCAGTATCCCCGAGATGAATTAAGATAAGACCAAACATGCTTTTTTTCATATTTCAGACTTGATTTATAGATCTTTCAGGATATGACCAACATGTTTTTCAGCTATCGAAACCCAGTTCCTAGCATTGTAAGTTAAATATCATCAATCCTTGATTAATGAATCTCCAACCTATAAACATATCAATAACCTATCCCATCAAGGTATTTATTGATAAATACTATCAATCCTTGATTAGTGAGTGGTTATTGATATGTTTATAGGGTGGAGTATCCCATCAAGGTAGTTTGATGATGGACATTAGCAATGCTTCTGTAATGAATGGAGGAGATGTTATTGGTCATCATTCGTCAAATGCCACATTCCAACAATTACAGTCTCGTTTAAGAACAAATGACCACGGTGGTCGAGGAACTTACGAGAGTCACCCTGTAGATCTGTCCAATCAACGACCAGATAGTCACTTGTCACACATGGACTTGGGAGGTTATGCTGGGGCTCATTACAGGGGTATGTCTCAAGATCGGGTCCATTATGAAAATGGACATGGTGTTCCTGAAAATGGTAAGTTTTGTGTTTATTAATCGGTTATTATACTAAACTGCCAGTGGAATTATTTAACAGCTACGTCAGTGTGTTATTTTTCTGACATATCAGCTGTGATATTTGTAGTATTTTAATATTATATGTGTGTTTGTGTAACACACGTACTTCTAATATTAGAAAATAACATATTCAAGACTTAGTTTGCCATCTTGTGTAAAATGTTTCCAAAGTATTAAAATTGTGAAGACTGTCAGAGATTGACATCAAGAAACTTAGCTCTGCCTACCCTCTTCGACATAGCATCAAGAAAATGTCAAAGTTGAGAAGGTTAAGTACGTGTATTTCAGTTTTAGTAAGATGAAGAAGATAAATTTCAGATCTTTACAAGTTTACAGAAGGAAAAAACTTTTCTCATTGTTGGTAATCCACAGATTATATGTATTTTCACTGCATCTTCCCTTGAATTTCATAAAGTATCTATTTAGTGAGACTGATGTTTTGGTTGTTATTTGATTAACAAAAAGATGAAAGATTCAGTGAGAGAGGAAAGAGCAAGATACGTTTTGGAGGATATACTTGAATTAAACAGTTTAAGTTTGTCACAGGAGTTTTATTTAAAAAAATTAATAAATATAAACATTATCTAAACTTAATTTGCCAAACTATTAGTTTTATAATATTTCCTACTGGTACGGTGTCCACATAAGTCATGATATTGAGTAAAGTTTGTTATAAAAAAAATTGTTATTTATTTTTTATACAAATGGAATCCCAGCAGTGAATGGTATGATTAATTGAAGTGTCAATGATATTTTTATAAAAATGTTTTGTATGACTTGTATCATGTCCTACTTCCTGGAGAGCTAGTGGATTACTGTTTTTAATGTGTGTTATTTAATATGTCTTACTTCTTGGAGAGATAGTGAATTACTGTTTTTAATGTGTGTTATTTAATATGTCCTACTTCCTGGAGAGATAGTGGATTACTGTTTTTAATGTGTGTTATTTAATATGTCTTACTTCTTGGAGAGATAGTGAATTACTGTTTTTAATGTGTGTTATTTAACATGTCCTACTTCCTGGAGAGATAGTGGATTACTGTTTTTAATGTGTGTTATTTAACATGTCCTACTTCCTGGAGAGATAGTGGATTACTGTTTTTAATGTGTGTTATTTAACATGTCCTACT